TGAGCTAACGTATGTAAAAGGCATTGGAAACCTTAATGCAATGTCAAAACATTAGCTCTTTGTCAGCCTGGATGCATTATCGTTAATATGCAACCCAGCTCCCACCCAGGTTGGAGTGGGGAGGGGCCGCCCTAGTTGCACATTGTGGGGGAGATGTGACTCTGAATTGGTGGAGAGAATGCTAATCATAACCAGACACCACGCACCTGTATAAGGGGCAGAGCTGGGGCTCCAGGCTCTTCTGAGAGAGACACACTAGGTTCCAGAGATTCTTTAGAATTCTTTTATTTTTTTATTTTTAGGCAATTGGGGTTAAGTGACTTGCCCAGGGTCACACAGCTAGTAAGTGTCAAGTGTTTGGTCTGAGACGGGATTTGAGCTCAGGTCCTCCTGACTTCAGGGCCAGTGCTCTATACACTGCGCCACCTAGCTGCCCCTCTAGAGATTCTTTGGGAGAGAGAAAAGTGAGAGGAAAAAATTCTGGAAGCTGCAGACATCTAAGAGAAGACACATCACTGAGGTTCAGCTCACCTTCCCAGAGACTTCAGAGAGAGAGCTTTTGAGACCAGATGGGATCTTTCCCTTGGTTTGAGCTGAGATCTTATTTTCCTCCCATCCAAAGAGCTCATTTGCTCTTGTGCATTTTCTGGCATATTCGAATCCATAGAACTTCTCAGATTTTTGTTTGCCTTTTGCTTAAATAAACGAGTTTACTTCCTATTAGGTGCAGTGAGGTCCCCCCCCCCCCCGTAGCATGAGGGTGCTGTTTGCCTCGAAGGGAAGCAGAATAGGCACATCTGGTCTTTTCTTCCCCCACTCTCTTTAGTTTGGGGATCTGGCTGAACTTAATTAGTTCCTTTTTCGGTCTCCCTTTTATCCAGTTCTTTAACTCTTTTTTTCTCTTAAGTATTCAAGTGAAATCTTCGGTTTTCTCCTCTTGTTTTGTTCATTAGTTGGAAATTTTTTTGTTTTCTTTGCCTTTTTCTAAAAAGGAGTTCTTTCTTTCATTCTCTTTCTAATTTATCTCCCTTTCTGTCTACTCTAGTTTTTTTTATTCTTTGATTTTTTATTTTTTATTTTATTTTATTTTTATTTGTTTATTTTATTTTATTTTATTATTTTATAATTTTTATTTTATTTTGTTATTTTATTTGATTTTTGATTTTTTTAATGTTTTTGATTCTTTACTTATTTATTCTTTGATCATTCTTGTTTTTATTCTTTGATTATTCTTTAGTCTCTGTGTTGCTATTGGGATGAAAGCTTTTGAAGTATCTGTTTTGGGTTCTTCTATGTTACTGAGATAATATTTGTGTAGTGCTTAGAACAGCGCTGTAGCACGTAGTAAACACTATGTAAATACTTATTCCTTTCCCCTACCCCTTCTGCCTTGGGGATCTTGCCCCTAGTCCCCTTTTCCCCTTGCACCGCACTCTTAGAAATAACAGTTCCTGCACATGATAGAGAAGCTACTGCCCCGAGCTAGGAATTTCCCTCTGTTACTGATTGTGCAGTTCCTCATTTAACTTTGCTCTTCCCAGAGTCATTTTTTCCCTGTTTGTCATATACTCTCCTGCCTGAATCCACGCTCTTCTATTCTTCATGGTATCATTTGCCATTTGCCTTTTCCTGGGGTAGGATGAGTAGCCTTTCTCCACACCAGATCCCTATAGATTATACCCACTGTAAGGTCTTCATCTCCATTTATAGAATCTCTCTCTTCCCACATGGGATCATCACAGTGGTACTCTGTGAGAGTGGTACTCTTTTCCACTGCTGAAACAAGATTTCCTCTTTTTTCCCCCCTTGTTTCAATCCCTCCTTTTGCTCTCTAGTTCATTCTCCCATGGGCTCTCTTATTCCTAAAAGACAAGGAGTTATTTTCCCTTCATCACTAACCTTTGACTTCATCAGCGTATATGACATATTTCAGTCAATTCTCTTCCTCTCCTCTCACCGTGTGTGTGTGTGTGTGTGTGTGTGTGTGTGTGTGTGTGTGTGTCCTCCCAGTGGTTCACCTGTAGGCAGTGTATTGTGAGGTTTACTTCCTGATGTTTCACCCCTTACTCCACCATGGTATCTATTGGCTTTCTGCTCTCATATTTGTATCCTCAGGAATTTTTAAAGAGAAATCCCTTAACGGTCTCTATTGTTATTTTGTTGTTCCTGGTTGATACATTTGTTTACCCTTTTTGTATTTTGAGAAGATTTGGGTTTCTTTCTAGAAACGCTGCAAATGTCCTTTTAAAAAAAAGTTAGGATTAGACAGGTTTACAGTGTAGGTCACCTTAGCTTCTTCAGAATATATTATTTCATTTCCTCCCAAGGTTTTTAGTGGGTGCAGAATAGTTTTGTGCTATTTGAATTTCCTTTCCTTTATATTTGAAGGTGTTTCTCCTGGTTACTTGAAGGATTTGTTGTTTGCTGTTGCAACTGTTAAATTTAACTACTGTGTGTCTTGTACTTTGCAGTACAGGTTGTTTGTTTTCCTGGAGATCTGTGGATCATTTTGATTGGCGCTTTGTTGCCAGAGCTCCTCTTCCATCCTCAGGTGGAAGAGGACATGCTGGGAATTCATATATCCTCTCAGATCACCCTTTCATCCCCTATCTTATCATCGTGGCTATTTTCCTACATTTTTCACTGCTTCCTTGGACTTCATGAGCAAGATGAAATCAACTCAGAAACTCTCACTTCCTCCTCATTTCTTACCCTGGATGCAGGACTTAATTCTTCTCCTCCCCAACCCTGCACCTCCAATTCTTCCCCTCTCTTTAACCGTTACTCCTCTTTTCAGGTTCTTTTTATGGGTTGTCTTTCCCTATTAGATTGTGAGCTTCTCGAGGGTAGGGATTGTCTTATATTTTTCTTTATATTCCCAGGGCATAGCACAGTGCCTGAGGCATGGTAGGCACTTAATAAATATTTATTGATACTTTGTTTTATGTGTTCAGAAGTTCTGCAAAGTTTTATTGTATTATTCTTGCATTATGGTGTTCATTTTTTTTGACTGCCATGTTCTTCTGAGAGACCTAGAATCCTTAAATTATTTTTACATATTGTCTTCAAGATCAATATGTTTTGCTTTTATAGAGATTATGTTTTCTTTTAACATATTGATTTTTTTTTGCTTTTCTTCTCTCCAGATTATCTTTCATTTTTGTATATTTACATTCCCAGTTATTTCTCTTTTATTTCTTTGTTGAGACTCACCACCATGGATTCAAGTTTTCTATCATGCCAATTATTTCTGCTGGGCAGGATATAAATTGTGCTTTAACAATTCTTATTTCTCTTTTGGAAACATCCCGCTATGGTCCCATGTTCTCTTGGGAATGCATATTCCCAATTACAATTCCTGTGCCTCATCAGGTATTAATTAATTTTCCCATGTCTTGAAATATTCATAGATACCTGGACTCTTTTGGCTGATCTGGAAGCCATATTCCAGTATCTTCCTTGTTGGTTTCTTTGCTTACACTTAGGTTTTCTCTTTCCTGAGATCTTTGGTAATCTAAACCCCATGTTACCCTTTGTGGCTTCCCTAGACTTCAAAGTCTTTTCACCCACACCAGGCAATTCACATTAACCTAGTGTCAATTTCTATGTCCAAGTGACTCCTGAGCAGACAGAAAGGGTCCCGGGGGATGTCAAGTTCTTTCCCTCAGTCACATACACATGTCCTGTCCCAGGTCCCTCTCTTCCTCAGTTCTCTGACTGAGCTCTGCGGCAGGATAGAGTGTTGTCATTTTGCTCTCCCTGCTAAATCAAGCTTCTGTGCTTTGGTTTTCTCTGGTCCTCTGAGGGGGAGTGGTAGAATTGTGTTTTGTTGAAAACCTGTTAAGTGGGCTTGTGCAGTTCTGTAGGCTTAGTGGGCTGTAGCTATGGGAGGAGAGTATGAAGAAAAGTATTGAGTGAGTTAGGGTTTGGGGATAAGCTTTTTCTGCTGATCTATAACTTCATTAGGATTCTTGGTGTCATAAACCTTGGAAACGGCTGAAATTGCTTTATCTCTTGCGCACAATTCCTATTTTGGAGGTGGTTGAGAGGTTAGGGAAATCGGAGAAAACATCTAGTCCGCCGTCTTGTTCAGAGATATCTTTCATTGCCACTTGACGGCCAAATCTAGATATTTAAACAGCCTACGTGGACATATCTATCTTAGGAGACAACACATTCCTTGCAGATATCATTATTGTTATTATTGTTATTATTATTGTTGTTGTGAGAGTCAGGATCCAGAAGGATCTTGCCAGGCTAGAAGCAATCTGAAAGATGAAATTTGGGAGATAAATACAAAATCTTGCACTTGGTTCAAAAACCCAACTTCATTAAGCACGTGGTAGGCTTAAATAACAGTTTCTGTGGATCGTAAGCTGCATCTGAGTCAACAGTGGGCTATGTCTGCCAAGGAAAGCGGGTGCAGTCTGGGCCAGGACTGAGGAGGCGTGCCTGTTGCGCTGTGCCCCGCCACGGTCACACGCGGTCTGGGGCATTCTGCCCCGTCCTAGGCAGGCACCGCATCTTGGGAAGGCCACTGATCCTCCAGAGGCCGCGTCCGGAGGCGGACAAGCAGGAGATTGAAGGGCTTCCACAGGGGGTGTGGAAAATAGCCGGGGGGGGGGGGGGGGGGCATCTTCCGCGGCCCGACGGCACAACCAGAGACGACGAAGCCGGGGAACTCTGAGGCCGCAGCGCCCGCAGCGCCCGCACCGGGGCAGGCGCTTCGTCAGGGTGTCCCGGGGAGGGAGGGGGCCGGGCGCTTCGTCCGCAGAACGTATCTGGGGCTGCCCGCCCGCGCTCGCCCACGTGCCGCTCCCGGGACTCCACCTCCCGGCACGCCGCGCGGCCGCGCAGGCGCACTGGCGGCCCCGGCCTCGCCGCCCCGCCTTCCCTTCCGGGTCGCGCTCCGCGGCCCCGGCGGCTTCCGGGTCAGGCTGCTCCCAGCGGCGGCGGCGGCGGCAGCGGCGGCGCCTGAGGCGAGAGGCGCGAGCGGAGCGGAGCGGAGGCCGGGCCAGGCGGCGGACCATGGACGTCTCGGGCCAGGAGAGCGACTGGCGCAGCGCCTCCTTCCGCCAGAAGCTGGTCAGTCAAATGTGAGTAGGGCCGCGGCCCCGGTTCGGCGGGGCGCCCCGTCCCTGCCTGCGCAGCCCCCGGGCCGTCTGTCATCGGGGCTCGGACCCGGGCCCGGCCTCCCGCTGTTTGCCGGCGTCCCCCGACCCCAGGCCGGGCCGGGCCGGCCGAGGCGGGGGCCCGGACCTCCGTCTCCCCCTCAGGAGGGACCCAGGGAAGGTCTGCCGTACCCGGGAAGGCCGCCCCGAGGCGGGGAGGCAGGGGGCCGGGCAAAGGCGTGGAGGTGGGACGCGCCGGGGGCCGTCGTGTCCCCCACGTAAGAAAGCCGGGAGCCCCAGGAAGGTTCGAGTGCCGGGCGGGGACCCCCGCGGACCGGACGGTTGGCCTTTGTGCGCTTGTGGATCCTTGTGCGGGCTGCCGTGACAGGCACTTTGACCTCGCTGCTCCGCCCCCTGGACATCCCCACCCCGCCCAGCGTGACTCATGCCCATTGTATGCGGCTCAGCCCTGGCCCGGGGGGGGGGGGGGGGGGGGGGGGGGGG